TAATGGTTGCTATCTTTTTAAAACTTGGAAACCCAATAAAGGAAGGGACCGTGATTGTGTAGACAGTGTGGCATGTGTTACTGTCAGGGACAGGCGTACATTGACTCTGTCTTTGAGTCTCTTTGTTCTGGGCTGGCCCGGGGCCTGGGTGCTGGGAGTAGCCGAGGACACTGGCCGGTCGTGAGAGCGACGCAGCGGGGCAGTGGGTCTGGGTGGGACGCTCCACTCACCCCTCACCCCTCCCGGCCGGCCTCGCAGAGGCGACACTCAGCTTCTCCCCTAGTGCGAGGCGAGGCCCTTCCGCAAAGGCTCCCCTTCCCTAAAACGTCTTCCAGAGCGTCCCTGGTACTTGCAAGTTCTGCCTGAGAGGGTCGCTCTCTTCCACTCAGAAACGCAATTTCCTGGACGAGAGTGGCAGGGCTGCCAGTGTCCACATTTTCGCGACTTCATTTCTCTTGTCAGTGATGAGACAGTCGCATCAGCTCCCGCAGAACGGCTGAGGGAAGACTGAAGGGCCTGCGCGGGCAGAGGAACACGCAGCGCCGCCTTAGAGCGGGGAGCCAGACTTCCTGATTTTGACCATCCTGACTCCGAAGCTGGCGTTTTTAACTCCATTACCCTCCTCTTTATAGCAAAGTCAGCCCCGTAATGATATGCCTTTCGTTTGTTTCAGTTCTGCCAAGGAAAGAGAATACTATTTATTCCCAGGGAAAGGACTGCAGTCACCACAATATAAGGTATTTATTTGGCTTGGCATGTAGGATTCTAAATGCTGGAAGGGCAGAGCAGTTGGCAGATTGATCAGAGGTTTAAGGATAGGCACTTATCTCCAGTTTAATGATAGTTTGTATCTTTCACATTCTCTGTAAGTAATCAATCCAGGGGTCTCTAAAGACACTTCTGAGGGACTTTCCCCCCTCAGATTAAGACACTTGACATACTTGACCCCTGCAGTGTTTGGGAGTCTGGACTGGTGCATAAGTACTTTGCCGCCAGTCTAGGTCTTCTGGTTCACCTCAGCAGATGCTTGAACTCCAGGGAGCGTTGGCCTTTGGACTCGCGGAGGTGGCCAACTGCTGCTTTGGATGTCACTCTAAGCTTTGATCCTGGTGACTGGCTGACCTTGGTGATCTTAGGGGCAGTGGATATAGCTCATAGTGATAATAAGGACTCTGATTCTAGGGTTTTTTTTTTCTTTTTTCTTTTAGCCAACAGATCCTGGAAGTTTATTCAATCAGATGTTTTAGTTTTCATAAATAGCTCTTACGCCATTAAAGTTGCCCAGTGTGATAGAACACACAAGATGTACTTGTTTCTTTTTGGTGAAAGTCATGCGTATCGCTGGCATGTTTGATAACTGTCACACTGAGGTAGTGTGGGTGTGTGGCGTGGTGGTGAAAGTTCGTCTTACGACTCCTTGTTAGAACGTGCAGAAGGGGACAGAGCTGCTGTCACTGGCGGGGTAACGACTTGACCCTTTCAACTAATCTCACTGGTAACTGTCTCTAGTCTTCAAGTAAACTGAGAACGGACCGTCCCTCAAGCTGAGAACTTTGGGGGTAAGAAACAGGTCTGAGGGCTTCGAACCGTGGGGAAAAGGTGTTGGTGTTATTCATATAGCATGACCTGAGGTTGGGGAGGACCACTTGGGAGCCTGCAGCCCACACTGGAAGGTAGCTTCTGGGATGGATGGAGGTTGTCCTGCAACAGTGCCAACCTAGATCTACCTCAGGTAAGTAGTTAAGAGTAACTTTCAAGATTTCAGACCAAATGGGACACTTGTATTCAATGTATCCTATGCTTTAATGTTTTTGTTTTCCCTTAATTCTTAAATAAACATTTGTTCTGAAGAACTCTGCTTTTGCCTCAACTGTACTAAGAAAAAGCATTTCCTGTAAACTTGTATTAGAATAAAGCAGATATTCAAGAATCCTTTCACGGTAGACATGTACATCAGACCATCACAATGTACACTTGGAATAGCTTACAGTTTTGTCAGTTATACCTCGATATAGCTGAAAAAGAGGATAAAGTGGCTGTTCATGTGGCCTTGAGGCCACTGTACTGCCTAGAACTCTAGGGGTATCTGATGCCAAGGCGGAGGGAGTGAAACCTGAGTTATCTGCTCGTCTCCAGGCAGAGGGTCCTTTGGGAGCCTCCGCACCACGTGACGTGAGTAACACACGGGAGAGTATGGTTTTTACTGACCATAGTTGGCGGCAGAATCCAGTTACCACCAGTGCTCCACTGATGACCTGTGTGGAGTCCGGCACCCTTGCTGGTCACAGACCACGGTGTTAGGCAGAGGACACCTGGGACGATACTGGCCTCTGTGGTAGCTGTTCTGCTCGACGTGCCCTCCCTGCGTCGCTCCCCGGGCGGGGGCGCCAGCAAGCCCTCGGTGAGCATGGAGACCTGGGCTGTGAGCGGGGACGTTGGCCGCCGCCTCCAGCATGCCTGAAGGATAGGAGGTTCTACTGAGAAACACACCTCGCGGATGCGCTGGGTGGACGGCGTAGTCCAGGCGTGACTGAGTTCCCAGGGGACTCTCTCTCCTGCCACTCAGGTTTACAGGGTTCCTCACCAGGTAAACAGATGGGGGCTGAGGTCTGTGCGTGGACAGGCAGGGGAGAGTAGAGAGCCCCTCAGCCAACACTTTGTGTATCTGACAGCCACACTGATCGTGCAGTCTAGCTTCTTCTGCAAGAACTGAACTGAGACTGGGGTCGGAGCACCCACTACCTCCTGGGCTTCACCCACCTTTGCAATGGGGTGAACCCAACACTCCATCCCTGGAGCTCTGTCACTGTAGTGCACCAGGCTCTTTCAGACTTCTGTTCACTTTTCAGAAACGAGCTGAAAAGTGACCCATGTCTGAAGACTGTCAGGCATCAGCTCCACACTGAGGGCACCGCTCGCCTCCCAGAGAGCATCAGCCATACCCTCCCACGGCCCCCTTACACGTCTGCGATGCCTGAGGAACCGCTATGCTGATTCCTTCAATACCTGTCTTTTTCTAGTGGTCCGTAGACTCTTGATGCCAAGGGCCATGTGTTATTACGGACTGACCCTCCCGCGCTCAGATGGTGACTAAGTGCTGAATTAGATACTGACTGGGACAATGGCTAAGAAGTTAGACAGAAAAGGGTCCAGGTGGAACAGGGAGGTTCTGAGACCAGAGCAGGAGATGGAGCGAAGGTGAGCAAATGGGTTACAAGGAGATAGAAGCTGGAACTTACCCACAACCCCTGCTCTCGCCCATAACTACAGAGGCATTTTTAAAATATTTTTTCTATAAATACATTTGGAAGGTGGCTCCCAAGCCAGGTGCACCCCTTTAACCCATGTCCCTGTTAATCTAAATAAAATGATGTTGCTGCTGCCTAGACTAACCATTACCTCTAGCTCGATGGAAGGCTCTTCCTGGGGCCAGGAAGTGGGATTTTTAGAGGGCCCCAATGGGCGGCAGGCAGGCAGTCAAGACTCAAACAAGAAAAAAGAGGTATCTGTAATAGTCATAATCACGCTAATATGAATTAGGTGCTTCAGCCAGGCATACATAGGGGTTGGAAAGGTGAGGAGGCCCCGCAAAATGTCTATGTCTGGGCACTCACCCGAGACTCTGGTCTGAGAAACACAATAAAATGTGTGCCTGTGTAGTCGTCAGTGGACAGAGGCTGGGCTGGGCTACGAGGTGGAAGGGGCCTTTCTGCCCCTCAAGAGTCCCTAACCAGTGAGGTTTCCTCCACGGTCTCTGATGGTGGTGGGGCTCCGAAGATCCTGGCAAGGAGCCCTCGGTTGGAGCGGGCCTGGTCCTGGGCATTGGCCAAGCGAGCGCGTTCACGACCCCCTGGCCGAGCTGCCTTCCGGGCCCTCAGCTCCTGCTCGGTAGGACGCTGGGCAAAGGCCCAGGAGCTGTTCGGGCGGGTAGAGTCCCCATCGGCGGCAAGGAAGCGCTGCCCACGCTCCACACTTCGAAGATAGAAGTCAGTCTCACGTTTGGCCTGGGCAACCTCGGCCCTCAGGCGCTGCCTGCGCACCTGGCGCTCAAAAGCAAGATGCTCGCTGAGGTGGGACCAGGTGAATCGGTGCAGGTACTGCAGACAGGAAAACAAGAAAAGATCTGAGCAGGGCAGGCATGGAGAGAAAACGGGAGGGAGCAGGGCCAACAAGAGGTCACAGAGGTGCCTGGGCTGGGGCTGGGAAGGTGGGGTGACAGGTGCAGACAAGCCTAGCTCCTCACCTTCAGGTTCCACAGGTCGTAACGGAAGGGGCTGCGTCTGCGGGCGCCCATGGGCGTGTTGTGCAGACTGGCCGCCACACGCTTGGCTATCCGCTTGTCCCGGAACTCCACCCAGCCCTCGGTGTAGTCCTTGCTGTACTTGGACCGCTTTTTTCCTCCTGTGGCCGCGGCTGCTGCCTTCTTCTTGCGCCTCACGAAGCCGTCTGGCACCCAAGACAGAGCAGTGGTCAAGGAGACTGAAGCACCACCCAATCCAGCCCTGCCTGTGGCCAGGACTTTATCTCAAGGTCTTTTCTCTGCAAAGTCCACCCTTTCTCCCTATGTCTAACTCAATCCTTTCCTCAACGTCGACTCCTGTCAAAATATAAACGGAGCCGCTTTAAGATGGAGCCAGAGCTACCATCCCAGAGAAAATGCCCTGTTTCTTACGCCTCAAACCTTTGGAATGTTAAACCAGCAAAATAACCTTTGGAATGGGCCTGAAGCAGCACTGTGACTCCGAGAACGGTTTGCAAAGATAACAAGAAAGCAGATATTACTGCCGGACTGATGGCTACTGGATTGGAAATTAAAAACGTCATTTAGCATCAGCATCACTGTTAGCTTTTCTGCACCAACAGCAATGTAACTGTTCGTCTTCCCCTCTCCTAATCTGAACACCATTTGTCTCCTAATCAGAACACTGTCTGGGCTTGTGCCTGAATGAGTTCTTCCCCAATAGCCATTCTTCGATCTCAAATAAATGCCAGTCAACCCTAACTCTGAAAAGTCTTTATTAAAATCCAAGGCAGCTCTCCGAGAACAGGCCTACAGCGCTACGGCCCCACTGCGGCCCTAGGAGACCTGCACACTACCGACCTGCCTACCCCTCCGCGCCTGGGACCCCCGCACTTACCCTCGGGCTGGAAAAAGACGCGCCCCACCTCGCCGTAGGCGCTGAGAAGGTTCCGTACGTGCAAAGGCCGAAAGCGGGGCGGGAGGTGGCCCAGGTACACGATGCCCGGCACCACTCGCTTCTTGGCGCCGCCGGCGGCTTCTTCGGATTCGTCCTGCTCCTTCTCCGCCTCTTGTTCCGGGTCTCCCCCTTCTAGAGGCTCCTGCTCCGCGGCCTCCTTCTCTGACTCCTCTGCCTCCATGCTTGCCGAAACGTGAAGCGCGACAGCCGTAAAGCGCCGCGCCGTCTGACGCGCGCTCTGTGCGACAGCCTGCGGCTCGGAGGCGGGGCCGACGCGGGTGGGTGGAGACTGGGAGGAGCGGGCGGGGCCAGGCGGCGCGCGGAGGGCGGAGGTAGGTCGCAGGTCAGCGGGAGGTTCAAACCCGAGAGTGGATCAGAGAGGCTCAGGAAAGCGGAAGGGGTCCCCAAGTGTAAGGCGCGCTACGGCACACCTGTGACCTCCAGGAGATGGCACGCGGCAGGTTTTCCGGGAGTTTTGGAAGTCGGGGAAGGTTTTTGTGTAGTCTAGGACCAAAATAGCATTTTACACAAGGGACCCAGTTGTGACCTTCTAAAGTTAATTTAAATTTCACTTTTTTACAGGGTTTGAGTTTTGAAATTTTAATTGTTCAAATTTTAACTTAAAAAGTTTTGAACATTTTTAAATTTAGGTTTTGAAAAGGTAGTTTAACTTTGCAAACATAGGTTCTGAAATTTTCATTAGATTTTTTGAAATAATCAGTTGTGAACTTTAAAATATTTTTTTAATTTGATTTTGTGAATAAGATGTCTTAAAATGTAAATATGTGACATTTCTTTTATTATAAAAGATGATTTGGTGCCTATTACACATTTGTACTGATACATGATGCATTTTATATTTATATCATAGATACTCAGACAACAGCTGGAGTGTTGCCTTGAGAGTAAGATGGGATCTAGTGCCCAATTGGATAAACATAAACAAGTAGGAGTATTTTTTAAATGTAGAATGTGCGAGAGTATTTGTAAGATCGTTACATCTCTTAACTCGTTTAATTAAAGCAAATCGCCCATTCGTTTTGGATAAATATGGATTTGTGGTTCACACTTTCTGCTCTTGCCTTCCAGAGAAAGACCTTGATTCTCTGGCAGCAGCTACTTGGGCGGCTGGAATAATCCCTGGACTCAGACCAGCATGGACCCTCTTTAGAAACTCTGAGTATCTTCATTTCTGCCGTCAGACAATACATCAGTTCCACCTTCCACCATATCTCATTTGACCTTTAGATGACCTCTGCCCTGTCTCCCCAAGTCTTTTCCCATACCCCTCTCTGACCCTATCTCTGACTGTCAATGCCAGTGGAATGAACTTTTAAAAATACAAATCTAAATGGTTAACCACAATCAGTGATCAACTTTAAGGCCTACCTCTTGCCCTCAGGCTCAACAAAAAAGTCCTCAAATGTTTATCCCCAAAGAATAAAAATGTCCTTTTTCGCAGGTGATGCATTCTTTCAATCTCAAGAAGTCCTACCCCCAAACAGAGGCAGAACCACCAATTTGGTTCCTTTTACTCCATTTTGGCATAATCTCTCTTTTCAGACTCAAGTCCCTTTCTATGAAAAAAAAGGAGTTTTATATTGTTAAGCTGCCACCAGTGGCTAATAAAGTAAACAAACCTGTTGAGGAGATGGAGCAGTGTTTTACAGGCAAAGACAAAGGTGGACAGTGAAAAAATGTCAGTAAATAAAAAAAAATTAGCTCTTCCCGGAGCGGCTATCTAATCCTTCGCCTAACCCTCACTCCAGATGCGCCCCACCCTCCTCTGCTCATCCAGATGCCCTCCCATTCACCCAGCTGGCCCTCGCCTCTATTTACTCCTTTTTCTACGTCATTTACTGCTTTCGGATGTATTACGCGATTCACCTTTTAAGTTTATGACATCTTTTCCATTCTGAAAACATAACTGACTCGAGGACAAGCATCTTCATGTAACATTAACTTAGGCATGTCCCTAGATGGGTCCTTCTTCTTGGGGACAGCCAGTTACCGTTTATTGAGTGAATAAGTCAAGTTCTTAAATTGAGGACATCATCCTAATAGAAGCACAGGCATAAATTAAATTTGATGGAAGGAGAAAGAAAAGGTATTGACCAATACTGGTTCCCAGGTAAAGGTGAATTGGCATCAGGACTCAGCAGCCAGGATATGCTGAAGAAGGCATGGCCAGGTCCAACAGGGCACAGCACGTTCCTGGGACCATAGGTGAAGTGTCTGAGATGCTGGCAACACTAGGAGACGCTGCCTTATTCAGTCTTGTGTAGCTGTGACCCACCCCAGGAGCTGTTTGCTCTCTTATGGCCACACTGGGCTGTTAAAGGCGCTGTGTGCAGGGCGCACCATGACCACGCGGTGGCGCTCCTGGACCACCCTTTTTCCTTGCGGTCCTGCCTGCCTGCCACCACCCTCCCTGGAGGTAAACTTACTGGTCCCAGTTGGCGCTGCCTCTCAGCGCTGATCTAATGACTCGTACTTGGAGGCTGAATCCCTCGATTGGGGCTTGCAAAGTCTGGCCTTGTAAAGTGTCAAGGCCAAGTATGTTCTCTGGGATTGGGGACACGAAACCCTCACGCTGAGGAGTGGGGAGCACCCAACTTGCAGAAAGTCTTGGCCATTAGAGTCTGGCCTCCATAGCTGTGTGGAGCACTGAGGAGGGCAGAGAATTTCTGCGGATTACCCTGTAGCAGTTAGGGCGCGTTCAGCGCCGGCGTTAGCCAAAGTGGCTGTCCTCTGTTTATTTCTGGGCAGCTAATGAGAGGTGAGTTCCACGTGAGCTCCCCGGTTGCCCCTGTGGCCCTCACCGGAGGACGATCTTGGTCTTCATCCTATTCTGGGGCGAGACTGTCCGTGATCCCACCAGCACGGCACTAGGCAGACCACCAGCCTTTGCTCGAGGCCAGGTCGGCACGTTTGCTCGCTGGTACCTTCGCACACCTCTCTCTGCTCTGCACCCCCGCCCCCCGCGCCCCCTTCCTTTTCCTCTGAGCTCCGAGTCTTCCCCGCAGCTCGGTCACGGCGGACAGTCATGGGACGAGTATGTGCCTGCAGCCAGGCGCGGGAGATTACGTCACGTGCTCGGCCAGGTCGGGACAATGGAATGTTCTCCAGACCCGGCACGTGGGAGGCAGGGGAGGCGTGTGAATGGAAAAGTACCGCTGTTTACAAATTCTTCGCCCTTAGATAAACCTCCAAGGGAAAATTCATAGCAACTATGAAATGCTGCGTTCGGATACTCTCTTGATTTCACTTTTAGTTCAACTGAAAGACAAAGTGAGGTCCGTTCCTCCGTGCTGATCAAAGCTGACTCGCAGGCGATGGTGGGGTGAATGTTCCCGCTACAGTGAACGTTTCTGTGCAGTGGGCCCTTCTTCTGTCTTTCTCTCAAACTGCTTAAAGCAAACTTCTCTGCCTTTTTGATTGTCAATATTTTATCATCTTTACCTGGATGCCTAGGACAATGAATCTCTGGATAAACACCAAGACCCTGTGAGGGTTCAGGACGGGTCCCCCAAGGTGTGCCTCTGTGCTGTGTGGATCCTTTTGATCTAAAGACAACTTTAAACTTGGGCTCAAGAGAAACTCCTGCCCCTCCGTTATCCACCGGGAAGAACTGGAATTAGGGGCCTTGCCGGTAACAAGGTTATGGGAGGTAACCTTCTGGCCCACCTGTAGGGCAGGAGAAGCTCCTGTTTACTGAGCATCTCTTCTAACCACGACTCTGAGGCCCCCAGGGCACCGTACTTCACCCGGCTCACGCTCCCTTTCCACCTCTCTACCTCCCCTGCATGTGGGGGCTTCTGGCTCTCTCAAGTGTGCCGGGTTCCAGTACGTACGCAGGTATAAAATTGGCTCATTTTCTCATGCTAATCTGCCTCATGTCTTTGATATGGTTTCCAGGCAGGAAAAGCAAGAGGGAGGTGGAAACTATTCCTCCCCTACAACGATTTCCTACCGCCAACGTGGCCTTGACTAACAAGAGAAGCAATGGCCCAGTCTGACTGTGTTTCACACCACAGGCTGGGGATGGGGAGGAAGCGGATTCTGTCCCCTTTCTCATCCTGACACGGGCCTGCTCTAAGTCCCGCGTGTGGAGAGGGCGCAGGCCGGCGGGCTCCGCGGGGTTGCCGGTGCAAACTCGGGGTTGTGTCTGGGTGATGGCACCGCGAGGTTTATGACACTAGTCTCTACTTTGGATGTGTTCGAAACGGTCTCCAATAAACGGCTTCTTCAAAAATGACCAAGACGACAAACTGGACCCCCAAGGCCGCCACACAGCCAAATCTCCAATAAAATGGGAGACCGGGGGCAGTGTCCTTCTCGTCCCCACGCTTCTCCAGGAGCTCCACGTGGACGCCGCCGCTGGGCTGCCGGCCGTGCGCGGACGCGGCAGGGGACTGGGGGTGGGGGGCGTGAATGCCACCAGAGAAAAGTGCGAACGACGACTTCAGCGACCCGGCCGCCTTTCCCTAGAGCCAACCGCTTATTCGTCTATCCCGAACACAACTTGTGCGTGTAAATGAGGGCGTTACAAACCAAAACGGGCCCACTGGTTGCTGTCTCCTCTTTGCGCAGAAAGGGAGTATTCCCTCGATTGGTGAGGATCTAAATTTCATGAGTCCAGTTTTCAAAACTGCTGTTCTGCCGGCGGCATTCGAACCAGAGACCTAAGGCCGTCCCGTTGGGACACCTCCGTCCCCCGCTCGCCCAAGGGCTGCTGTCCAAGGGCGCCTGGTGGGGGTGTTGTGGAATCCTTCAAGCAGTGCCCGTGCAGATGGGTTCTGTTGATAATATTCATATTCACTTTAAAAGTACAACCCGAAGCAGTCTTCTTCCTTAAACACTGAATGTGATTCACATGACGATCTGGAGAGTTGGTTTCATGAGTTTATAAATATATAAAATTCATTGGGTTGTACATGTAAGACATTAGGGTATGACTCTGTACCCTAATATCTCCAGACAGAAACCGTACGGGGAACCCGTGTCCCTCTCCCAGCCCGGCGTATAATGTAGCTGCAGGGATTCCCCGGGATTAGGCCCGATTTCTTGCTCTCTCTCTGATTACCTCCTCCTTTTGTTCCCTAAAATGTCTAGGTTTGTTCAATCAATTTTAAGTTGCCCTAAATACAGACACCTTGGCTGGAGAGGGTCCCAGGTTTGTGAACAGAACGATACGCAGTGCATTTTGGGAACCACTGCGATTCTCCTTTGCAAGTCGAAGGGGAAATCATAACTCGAATGATGAAACATGGTGTGTGTGTGTGTGTGCGTGCGTGTGTGTGTGTGTGTGTGTTTGTGTGTGTGCGCGCGTGCGCGTTTTATATTATGTTGCATAATCATAGCGGATCAACTAAAGTAAAACAAAAATTCTTCCTTTTCCAAAGCAAATAATCAAATCGTTGTACACTCAGTTTCCTTATGCCTAAAGCGGAAACAGACACAATGGAGAATGTGCTAAAATATTGTCTGACCGTGAGGCAAAGGTGCAATGGCCGCAGTAAGGAGAAAGTATCTTAAGACCGAAAAACGATGCAGGCAACTCCAGAGCGTATAGTACAATTTATAATGGGGTTATTTACTCACAGGATGTAGGGTCGGAGAAGACAGACGCCCCAGCAGTCTGCACAGATAGTCCCCGCTAACAGACCCGTTACGGCAGGGGTCCCCAATGCCGGTACCGGTCCGCGGCCTGTTAGGAACCGGACCACACAGCAGGAGGTGAAGGGAGATTTGCAAGTACCGGGAAGGCCCCAGCTGAGCCTCATTGCTTGAGAAACGTGATTTTCCCTCCTGGATGTACCTGCGCTTTCTTCCGGTGCCCTGTTTCCGCCGGCGGATTCCCGCGTAAATAGACTCGAACCCATTTTCTAAGTCGTCTGTTTCCGCGGACTCCAAGCCCCGGGACACCTGCGCTCCGCGGACTCCTCCAGATAGGACTGGGCTCCGTGGAGCAGCTTACAGGTGGCGCCGTTCGATCACCATTGGTCCACAGTCCCGCTCTTTGTCCTATTTGCTGATACGGCTACTGCAAACGGCATCGCAAAATGCAGTTATTTCCAATCATTAAGGTGGCCGAGGAAGGGACGACGTCCTGCAGGGGCGGGGAATTAGCTCAAATGGTAGAGCGCTCGCTTAGCATGCGAGAGGTAGCGGGATCGATGCCCGCATTCTCCAGCTTTTTATTTTTATTTTTTTTAATGGACGTTTTCCCTTTGGTTTTTATTCCCATTCTCTTATAAATACTTTGCTGAAACGTTCTCAGTTAACACCGAGGGCCCATCTTATAACAGAGACGGCCATGCGGTCATGATTCACGCACTGGGGCTCATCACATAAGCTCCAGGCGGAAACAGGGTAGGCGAGGCTGAACCTTGGGGTTTCTCTCACGCTTTGCAGATTTCAGTAACAGCTGTGAAGCATGGGAAGGAAGGCGCAGATGTTGCCAGGCACAAAATCCTCAGACAACGCTCACTTTGATGTAATATCTTCGTAGCTGAGGACTCTACCATCGATATTCGGGATCACATTTCTGAGACAGGGCAGAAGTGGGATTGAGAATGTGTTTCATGAGATTGGCACCAAATTAGCAAATGCTTTCCATTGTTAAGAGAGCTCCACCTTTCCATCCCCGACGCAGGTAGGAAACGATATCCATTTTCCCCTTGCTTATTCGTTCTTCTTCTAAAGTGTTTCTTCTCTTGCGTGC